GAGAGAGAGAGAGAGAGAGAGAGAGAGAGAGAGAGAGAGAGAGAGAGAGAGAGAGAGAGAGAGCTCCTTGCTTTAACCCGAAAAGGCATTGACAGAGCAGATATCGGTTTGGTGACTTAGCATCTTCAACAAGTGTCAAACAGTCGTACGGATGGCCACGCACTCTAAGGGAACCTTGATGCTGGGTGTGGATTTGTTTGCCGCAGGTTAGTAGTTGCTGGGCAGATATCGTGCGGATGGCCACGCACTCTAAGGGAACCTTGATGCTGGGTATGGATTTGCTTGCCGCAGGTTAGCAGTTGYTGGGCAGATATCGTGCGGATGGCCACGCACTCTAAGGGAACCTTGATGCTGGGTGTGGATTTGCTTGCCGCAGGTTAGCAGTTGCTGGGCAGTCTTGGATGCTGAAGTCCGCCACCGGGGGAAGGTTTGATGGTCTGTGGCGAGACTTCCTGTTGGATTTGGATCTGTTTCGAGCAGTGTTTCGCACTCAAGAAACAGAATTGAACTCCAGATCCCGCAGGTTAGCAGTTCTTGGACATTGCTTGTGGTGTTCTCGGGGTACACACCACAAGTCGGAGTGAACTCTCATTTAGATGGACAGTATGAACGCACACCACTGGTTTAGTGTTGCTGTGACAGACAGTACACGATTCAAAAGGGCATCGTGTTGGGTATGTGGTGCTTGTTTTCCATAAAAGGTCAGGGGTCCGGCGCCCGACACCTTGCAAGTTCATGCACTGAACCTCTCAACTGTGGTCAGGCGAAACACCCAGCCTGGTGCACGACATTTGGCAACTTGAACCCGCAACCAGTCAGTACCCCTGCAACAAATGTATCCACCATTTATCTTCCCGGAAGGACCTCCTTCTCCGGTTGACAGATAGTAGTTGAACACCAAATAATTCGGGAGTTAGTGGTGTTCGACAGAGCACCTTAATGGTAAGGGAGGTTTACCTCTGCTAAGGGTGGTCTGTGGTAACGAGAGGCAGTTAGAGATAATCGTTGCTCTACATGAGGGGGTTGCCAGTGGCCACAGGGCTGTTGAGACTACCTACTCCGAGACTGTCAAACTCTACTTTCTGGCCTGGCATGAGAAACATGGTTTTCAGATACTGTAAATCATGTGTCTAATGTCAGAAGAGATCTACCACAAGGATGATTGAGCCCCTATTCCCTACAATCCTGGTAGAGCCAGGTAGCAGAGTTCATCTGGATCTCATCACTATGCCTCCAGTCAAGGGTGGGATGAGATACACACTAAACATGAGAGATAATTTTTCTAAATACGTTGAGGCAAAAACTCTGAAAAGGAAGACAGCTGAGCAAGTGGCTGATTGGATAGAGGAAGTCTATCTCAGGTATCCTTTTATCAGGGAATTTGTCTCAGACAGAGGATCAGAGTTCAGGAACGAGGTTGTCAGAAGATTTACACTCAGATTGGGTGTCAGGATTCGGTATGTGACTACTTACCATCCTCAAGCGAATGCACCTGTTGAAAAAGGTCACAGAACCCTAAAAGATTCATTGGCTAAGTGGTGTGAATGAAATCTTAGCAATTGGCCGAAGGTATTAAGAGCTGTTGTATATGCTGATAACATCACGGTCAAGATAACTACTGGCTATGCACCATTTACTTTGTGGTATGGCCGATATGCTACATTGCCAATTGAAAGTATTGTCAAGACGTGAGAGAGAGAGAGAGAGAGAGAGAGAGAGAGAGAGAGAGAGAGAGAGAGAGAGAGAGAGAGAGAGAGAGAGAGAGAGAGAGAAAGAGCTCCTTGCTTTAGCCTGAAAAGGCATTGACAAATACTAGTTGAACAGCGAATCAATTCGCAGATATCAGTTTGGTGACTAAGCACCTTTAACAAGTGTCAAACAGTCGTTGGTTGTCTGTGCGGATGGCCACGCACTCTAAGGGAACCTTGGTTTGTGGTGGGACTTCATGTTGGATTTGGATCTGTTTCGAGCAGAGTTTCGGACTCAAGAAACACAATTGAACTCCAGATCCCGCAGGTTATCAGTTCTTGGGCATTTGCATGGACAACTAGCGGATTGCTCGGGGTACACACCACAAGTCGGAGTGAACTCTCATTTAGATGGACAACATGAACGCACACTATCAGCGCGGTGATACAATATGGATGCTGGCTTGTCATTTGCGTGGACAAATCAATAACATAGATTCCTAACATTCACTCTTGTCATCGCAAACATCGATCCCCTCCTTGACAGGAGCATGTATAGGACTGTAAGACATTGGCATGAACATCGAAGATCGAAAAACTTGCAAGGTCATCGGCATGCCATTTCTTTGCATGGACAACATATATAACATTCAATCAGAACATTTACTCTTGTCACCGCAACGTGGAGATGGAAACACTCGCAACTTGCATAGTCTTTTCCTAACATTGCATCTTCGCAGATAAAAACACCGCACGCAGAGTTGCGAGAAATGTTCAAATCACTGAACCGCACATTGCAAAGTAGACAGGGGTTGTTTTTGAGAAAACATTCGAAGTAAAAAAATAGTAGATAGAGGGTGCGAGAGGCAATAGTTGCAATAGGTGCGAGAGGCAACGTGTATGAAGTAGTAGATAGAGGTGAGAGAGACAATGATTGCAATATCCACCATTTCAAGGTGCACATGTACATGCGCATGCACATCATGTTCCACAAGATTGTATTTTAGCATGTTTTCCCTTAAACACAAGGTCTGACAACCCGTCGGGACCTTGTGACATATAAGGTTTCTCGCGGACGAGGTCGTGAACCGAAGCCATACACGGCATTCATAGATGATCCATATACGTGGCTCTGCGGTTCCTGGACCGTTGCAGTCTCCGAAAACACGGACATGTATTTCATCCTGACAAACCCTCCTCGTCGTGCTAAGGAATTTCCTATATAGTCACGTATTTCAGACACTTTCTCTTCCACCTCATGCCACAATGACAAAAAAACTCTTACCTAACCTGCTCTCACCAAGTCTGAATGCCTATCTACATCTGGGCGAGACATGACCGCGTTGAACTTGGATCCCTGAAGCACCATCCCGTTGCGTGACACAAGCACAACCGCATCCACAAGTTTCCTACTTTTGCTTGAAGAAGCCACACATAGCACTCTGGCGAAAGGACATCCGTCATCCGTCAACCGCACAGAATAGTACGATAGAGCTTGTGGAGAAGTCCCTGGGCAACAGGGTGGGTAGTGTTCTAAGAATGAACAATGACGAGCGCAGTCCACCAACTCTTGCTTCTGCGAATTTCCCCAAGTTTGTGGCGAAGATGTGATGTACTCGCAGCCGAGGCGACTTCTGAAGCTAGTACGGTAGCGGATCGGTTTACCCTTATCGTCCAGGGTCTTTCGCTAGAGGACACCATCAGACAGTGCAATGCGGCTCCCGAACTCTAATATGTTGGCAAACTTGTAATGGCTTGCCCATGGGCAAGCACGCTCCATCGCCTTTCAATCATTATCGTTCCATTCGTCGAGATGCCGGTTCATGTACAGGACGACGGTCATCCATGGGTCGTCGTCGAAGTCCTCCTTGGATGCTTCGTCGATCCACGTTTGACCGTCATGATGCCGCACCGATCTCGCACAAGGTGAAAATGGTTTTGCTAAGCGCATGTGTTTCTCGGGACTCAAGCACATGTGCGTCTCGGGACTAATGCTGACGCTTGTCGAAGGTCTCGACGACATCACGCTCCCTACACATCACGGACACACAAACGACACATATGAGCGTGTAGACCGTCGTTAATAAAGTTGGCCAATGATAAGTCCCCTGGTGGGGCCAACACTCAATCATCACTCCCCGCACTATATATCGACAAACTCCTCACTTAATCAAAGTGCGAGTGAACTCTCACTTACGTGCGAGCGAACTCTCACTTAAGCAAAGTGCGAGTGAACTCTCACTTAAGCAAAGTGCGAGTGAACTCTTAGTTAAGTCTGACCACACGTCCAGATCCAGTGACATTCGGGGTTCCTCGTGGACGAGGTCGTGTACCGAAGCCATACAATGCATTCATTGATGATCCATACACGCGGATATGCGGTTCGTCGACAGATACACTCTCCGAAAAGACGGACATGTATTTCATCCTGACAAACACTCCCGGTCGTGTTAAGGAATTCTCTATACAGTCCCGTATGTGAGACACTTTCTCCTCAACCTCACGCGACAACGAAAAGTTTTGGACCCGCCCTGCTATCACCAAATCTCGCCACCCATCTACACGCGCAGGCCCACGTGTCGGCACGAATTTGGACCCCTCAATTACCACCTCATTGCGTGATACAAGCACAACTGTATCGACAAGTTTCCTGCTCTTGTTCGAAGCAGCTACACATAGAACTCTGGCGAAATCAGACCCGGACACAGTCAATTGCACACTACAGTATGACACAGCTTGTGGCGAATTCCCAGGGCACCGGAGTGGGTACTGCTCCAGGAACGAGCAGTGACGAGCGCAGTCCACCAACTCTTGTTTCCGCGAGCCTCCCCAAGTTCGTGGCGACGACCTAACGTAGTGGCACTCGAGGTGGCTGAAATGAGGGCTAATGCAGCCCAGTGCTCTGCGCATATGGTTAAGGAACTTGTGTCCGAGGACAGCGTCAGACAGCGGGATGAGCTTCCCGAACTCCAACATGTTGGTGAACTTGTACTGGCTTGCCCAAGGGCAGCGACTCTCCATCGTGGCCCAATTCCCATCGCACCAACCGTCAATATGCCCGTCTATGCACGGGACAACGGTCATCCAGGGATCCTCGTCGAAGTCCTCTGCGGTCGCTCCGTGGATCGTAGTTACACCGTTAAAATACCGCACGGATCTCGCGCAAGGAGGAAACGGTTCTGCCAAACGAATGTGCGTCTCGGGACTCATGGTCCGTGGTGCCGAGAAGATCGAACTTCTACCGATGACGACAGGCCGGTGTATACATGCGTTCATTCAAAGTTCGAACAGGCGACCCCAACGTAAGACACTGCGGCGCATCGACTGGAGCATCTTCCGCGAACATAGAAATATATTTCATGCGAACGAACGCGGTCCTTCCGGCCAGAGACGTGCCTATAGCATCCCGTATAGAGGACGCTTGAGCTTCAACCTCACGCCAAGCGTCCACCTTACCCCCGATTACCAAATCTCATGTCCCTTCGTATTCTATTGTGACCAAACCGATACTATCTCTCCCGAGGTGCAACTCATTCCTGGACACGTAGACCACAACGTCAGTCATGGTCCTATTCCGATTCGAACACGCGACGCAAAGGACCCTAGATAAGAATAACTTTCTGAGACGCAATCTAACGCAGCAGTAGGAAACTGCTCGAGGCAACAGCCCTGGAGAGCGCAACGGGTACTGATCGAGGAACTTGGAATGTCCTGCACAGGCAAGGAACTCGTGTTTCAGCGCACGGGACCATGTGCGCGGCGAAGCAGTCACGACACTGCAGGCCAACATATTTTGATGACGAGGAATATTCAGCTTTGCACTCAAGCAACGGTACCGAACTGAACCCAGCACAGCTCTAGGCACGGGAATGAAACTCCCAAACTCGCACATGTTAGCGAACTTGTAGTTGTCCACCCACGAACACTCCCTGAGCATTTTGTCCCATTCATGCTCTTTCCACGAGTCCAGGGGAGCATCAGTGAACGGGGGGACCTCCAGCCAAGGATCACACTCCATCTCGTCTTTTGTCGCACCGTCAATAACAGTGGAGTTTCCACTGCTGGAGACCCGCAACGCGCATGGGGGAAAAGGGTATGCCATGCGCTCAAGCCAATCACCCAGGATAATCAACTCCGACATAACCATCGCGATCAGCAAATGCCCTGCAGGCCACAAAAAAAAAAAAAAAAGCAAATGCTTTCACCCAGCTCACAGGGAAAAAAAATAACCGTGACCCCCAAGGACGTCCGTCCAAAATCCGATGACGGGCGTCTTGTTGAACACGACCACCACCGCACGGCCGCACTGCACCCACCCGGGCGAGAGGCGCATCAACGGGCATGGCAGGAGAGAGAGAGACAAAGAGAGAGAGAGAAAGAGACTCTAGTTGAACAACGAGTCAATTCGCGGTTATCGGTATTCGACAGAGCACTGTAAGGAAGTGTCAAACAGCACTACATGTATGTCGGGCCGAGCACCCACGGGCACGTATACAAGAAATGGAAGTGATCACGAGCCATCTGCATCGGTTGAAATGACTACCTTCAAGAAGTGTCGAACAGTCGGCGGTCTCAGGTCTCTAGTGCTAAAAGCATTCTTAGGGGACCTTGCGGCAGAACTGCTTGGCGTAGCACTAGATGCTCACCAAACAGTTTTGGATGTCGATCGTATGGACACATCATATGATGCTTACCAGCAAGCAGCGGCTGATTGCTGGATCTTCTATCCGGTGTGGATCTTTGAGAGCAGATTTGACACAATCCACTGTTAGATCCATTCCGGCGAGGGGGACCTGTCATTCTACCGTTGTTTATTGTACTCATCACCTGGGAATCGACGACGTGAGGAACCGACAATGAACATTCTTAGGGGACTTTGCGACCGTGTTTGAAACTTATTGGCGCAACACTAGATGCTCACCAAGCAGTTCTGGATGTCGGTTATATTGACACATCATATGATGTCTTACAAGCAAACTGTGGTCGAATCCCGGCTCCCATCCCCGGTGTGGATCTATGAGAGCAGATTTAATGCAATCCACTGTTAGATCCACATCGAAGAGGCGGACCGGTCATCCTGCCACTGTTCAGTGTAGTCATCATGCAGGAGTCGACATCGCAAGAACCCGACGATGTTCCAATTGGGACGTGCTCTTGTTTCGTGATGTGCAGGCGCTTACCGGCGGTTCATTTGCAGAAGTCGGGAGAAAAGGAGAGAGGGAAACATTTGCAGGTTGCCTGTTGTTTTTGTAAAGGTCAAGTTGAAGCAAAGTGCGATGGAATTGTTCGTCGTTCACACCAGAAGTGCGAATGAACTCGCACTTAGATGGAGAAGCAGGTGCGCACACCATCAGCACGATGATTTAATATGGACATTGGCTTGTAAGTTGCATATTACCCGGTGAAAATGTCATCAAATCTTTGTGTGGAAAAAATACATATCCATTCCTATAAGTAACTCTTATCATCGTGAAAATGGATGGTTTGTCGAAATTGTTAGCTTAAGCAAATATGGAGGTTGGCTTGTTATTAGCATATTACCCGGTGCCAGGTTCCTATAAGCAAATATGGACGTTGGCTTCTCATTTGTACATTACCCGGTGAAAATGTCATCAAATCTTTGTGTGGAGAAGATACATTTGCAAATATGGACATTGGCTTCTCATTTGCATATTACCCAGTGAAAATGTCATCAAATCTTTGTGCCAGGTTGCTATAAGTAACTCTTGTCATCGCCTTCAAGTTGCCTAGTGTATTTCTAAAAGGTGAAGTTGCACACCACAAGGAGAGTTTCCAGAAACCATTCAACGCAAAAAAATCATTCAATAGCAAATTGCAAAGTACACGGACGCGTTTTCAAAAACAATTCAATACAAAATTGCAAAGTACACGGAAACTTTCCAAAATTCACAAAGTACATGGAGCCTTTCCAAAAATCATTGAAGGACACGTTCTAAGGCACATGTAGGCATTCAAAAAATCATTCGAAAAGTTGGACCCTATAGTCTACATGACATGCCCTTATCTACAGAAGACGCTTCCATACAGTCTATATCACTCCCCCTCTTCGCCACAAGTCGAAAAGTCTTGCATTATACATGAAACAAACCCTACCTCTAATACGAACATGTCGAAGACCTAGACGAAAGTTGATTCGAGCCGAAGACCTACACGAACGCTGATTCGTGCCGAAGTCCTGCATTAGACAAAAGGTCATCTGAACCCGATACGATGTTCACCTGCCTACACAAGTCCCAGACAAAAGCTCATCCAAGCCCGACATGATGTCCACAACGTGCTAGTGTCAGACCCACTGCAAAAGGAGTGAGGTGATAAATGGGAGTCTATTCGCATATA